AATCACAAATCAGGATTTCTAACACAGACTTTGAGGAGTCCATTAATCGCTACCCTAAAGGACTTTGTACCCTTTTGTAGAGATTTATCTTTTTCACACAGAAAAAATCATCAATGTGTTTAGCTGCAAGATGTATTTGAAACTCTTCCCACAGGGTTGACAAGAATTGCATGCTGGATTCTGGACAGAAATATAGTTATAATTAAACATTAATCAGGCTGCAGTTTGGTCCACTTCCTTCTTGCTAAAAGTCTTGCAGCACTAGTTGCTGACCATTTGCATATCTATTATTCCTACAGATAGGATTTCTGACATTGGGGTCATAAGGCTTGAATAATTGACTTGCATCTCCATTGTTCCTATAGACAGAGTCTCTGACATTAGAATCATAAGGATTTTGTTTAAAAATTGCTTAAGATGTTTGTTAGGCCTAGAATTCTAGCAACCAGTTTGAAGACCCCCAACAGAGAAACTGGATCAGCATGAGAATACAGCTTCTTCATCTCCCTGACCCATGACTTTGCCCTGTACTCTTCTACAAATCAATGACCACACTTTAACCCATTCTAAAACCCTTAAAATCTCTAGCTCCAAACTTCTCAGGGAGATGGATTTGAGGCTTACTCCCATTTTCTCCTTCAGTGATTCTGTGATTAAACCTCTTTCTCTGCTTCAACCAGTGTCTTGGTGTATTGACTTGCTGTGTGCATGCAGCAAAGAGTCTATTAGAGTTACATATTTAGATCTAGGGTTGGCAACAAAACATTGGCAAATCCAAGCCACATGCCCAAATCCAACTTGGCAGCTTGGATTATCCTGGTAGGTAGGAGCAATAAACAGAAAAAGAAGTTATTCAGAATCAAGCAGAAAATATGCTTCAGCCCAATAATCTATTCCTGAATATGTTATGATTTGACAAAAGACTTATAACATAGTTCCCAACTTTCTCCATTTCTGTCTTACACAACACATTGGTAATACAAAGCATGGGAAAAAGTGACTACTTATTTGCAAAGATGAATAATTTCAAATGAGTTAAGACACACGTTTCAAAGAATTCACGTAAATTCTGAATGTTCATAATGAAACTGAATGAATGTTTAGCTCTAGTGTTTCCTCAGCAACTGTGAAATACACTCCACCTTCATATGTGAAACAGATTATAAGCAAGATTATTTGACTTAGGAAGAACATTCATTTTTTGCAAATAGGCCACTATGATTCTGAAGACTACACATACAATATGAAGTCAAAGCATGTACCTGTAAAAGAAAAAAACTTCAAAAGTCCTGCTTGCCATTTATAATTTCTTGTTTGTTAATATAATAATAAGAACAGAGTTTTTAAGAGTTAAAAATACCATCAAAGATTAAACAGCCTTTTCTGTGTATGGATTCTCATAAGTAGGAAAGTGACAGAGTCAAATACTATAGTTGCACCTTAGGTAGAGGGCAAATAGTTAAGAATTCTAACCCTTGAACCAGACATCAGAAAACAGGTTGTATATTCCTTTATAAACTACTATCATGAGGATATTTAGACTTATTTCCAACTCTGAATTTCCTTCCAACTGTGGATTTGTTGAATGTATTACTGAGGCAGACATGGCTGTTGTTGATGAGGTGAGGTCTGATTTCTTTGCAATTTGAAGAAGGCTTTGTGCCCATCAGGTTGCTGCCTGTATCACCTTCTTCAAATGAACCTGGAAAAACTCTAACTAGGTAAACCCAAGGTGCAATCCAGTAAAAAATAACAGTGGTTGATAAGATCGTTATTTGGTATAGTGGTTTCAGACCATGTGACCCCGGACCTCTCATGCAGAGAACTGGGTTAACATATCTCCCTCCTCCAGAAAGTTGCCCAATGTGTGAGCTCGTGTGGCACACCTCAGCTTCATTACTGAAGCCAGAAAAAGTTCTGGAAGGAAGTTCATAAAAGCAAACAGAAGTTCATAAAATGACCACATCACAATTTTTTTTCATTTTTTCCCTTTCTTTTTCTTACCAGTGCAGAATGAGAAATGTGTGGCACATAAGGCACATAGGCTTTTTATGGTTTGTGAGGAAATTTGTGAGCAGTTTTGAGATAACAGGTAGAATTGAACTTTTCTGGGTATTTAGATGCCTGCCCTTGAAAGCAAGTGCAAGCTGTCACATTCTATTTGCTGTCCTCATAAAATTTATTAGGTGTTCAATTAAGGGAAATTACTTTTGAAGCAATTTGTGCAAGTTCATGAATGACTGATGATACAGCCACCTGTTGAGAAATAATTTCCCATTGATCTCTCACATTTCTGCATGGCTTTTGAGTAGAAGCACTGGGAACTTTAGTTCTGGACTATCTTTTCAACGATGTCTGTGTGAAGGAACAGACTTGGATATTAAAGATAGTTTCTCAGTCCTGGATCAGAAGATAAATTTGCTAGCACTCCAGGATTATAAAGATAAGGTCTCCCTTGAGGCAAAAATTGGGCATGTTTATCAGCAGCAGTACCCTGTGAAAGATTCAGGTTTTTTAAGCTCAGGGCTCCTCAGCTGTGGCACAGGCCCACCATAAGTGCAGCAGCATCCACTGGACTTCTCCATATCAACTCTATGGGACTTGAAGGACAAGAACAGATGTAAGTATGAAGCTCATGCTGCCTACTGTGCTGTGAATAATAAAGATATTATTCTCTGATCTAGGGATATTGTATCTCTGCCAACATTCATGAAAATGTGGCTAGCCAATTTGTTAGCTTGCAAGTAGGGTAAAATCTCAGACCCTTGATAATTATTGACAAATATCTTTCTGTAATTTTTCTTGTAACTGAAATAAGCTGTCTTTTAAAAACTATTTTAAGGATATGCAATACTGGTGAATGCAGTTGACCAAACAATTCTTATTTCTCCAGATTGAGATGGAGCCAGTGTTTTGGGGAATCTGGCTGCTTAGTCTATAGGTTAACTGGATGTTTTATTCTTCCTGTCAGCACCTGTTCCACATTGTCCATGATGCAGTCATGAGATTTGATTATAATTTTTGATGAAAATAAGGTATTAAATGTCTATACTCCTCCTTGATTTGTCAATCCTTAGTACTAACAATAAGGATTTTAGAATAATTATATCTTATAAATCTAATGCCATCTCCTATTAGCACTATCTGTTTTTATAGCTATAACTCCACATCAACTTAATGTGCTCATGGTCATACACTCATACGCATAATTATAATTATATCATTTGAAGTAAGTGATTTTAATTATATAGACATGTCTTCATTTTGATAGTTCCTTTGTTCCTGCTGTGTGTGTTGTAAGGAAACTTGAAACATATAGGTAGAAAACTTACACACCAGACACATTAACATGTGAGACAAGCAGTGGGTTATCCTTCTAACTCTGAGATAAGCTGTTTTTATGACCTTGGCCAAGTCATTTTATCTCTCAGGATCTCTAGCAACTCATTTGAATGGGTTGGATAAAATTATTTTGAGAACAACTCTGTAATCTTATAAAACTATATCTCTCTTTGTTGCTAAATACAATCACTGATATATTGAGAATTCTTCAAAAATGCTACTCTAGATCAACTTCTGATATTTAAAATCTCCCTTTAGGCAATGCATATATAATGAAGATGATAACACAAAGCAAAAGATTTTGAAAAGTTGTCATAAACTCAAATATAATATAGGATTTTTCCCAGATTCTAATATTTAAGTATGTTCTTTTATTGTCACATTACCTCTAATGGGAGATATAAGGTATTATTTCTTTGGTGATGAGTAGAACACTATTATCTTCTCTATCACTGATTAAAATAGATGATAACATAAAGGTTACATCAGAAGCTTAACAATTGTATAGATAGGTTTAATTTAGTTTTTTCCTTAATAAATGACAAACTTATTCCAGACTGAGGAAGTGAAGGCAGATCTGTACACTTTTTGCTTCAATGTTTTTCCCTGGCAACAAGATTTTGTGATGCTCCAAACTCTCCCCTCCCATTTGGTTTGTAATGTGACCCCAGCACTGTGTCTCTTAACAGGGCTTCTTATTTTGGATGCAGTTGCCCCTTTCCTACAGCTCAAAATGTATTCTCTTTCCAAACAGTTCTTAATGTCCTGGTTTACTGATGACCAAAGTGATTGTGAAGCCATCCGTATAGCCCCAAGTCAATTTTTTTCTGTGTCATTCATGTGTAATAGTTGTAAGTGATGTTTCCATATTCAGCATCCATTCCTACTTCTGGTTGGTGCTTTTCTATTTTCCTGTAAAGGACTATCCTGTTCCATGTAATCATGCTACTTTGCTTTTCTCTGAAATTTCTGCTTGCCTGCCTGCCTTCTTTCCTTCCTTTCTTCTTTTCTTTCCTGCATTCCTTCCTTTTAATATTAAAATAAACTAAAAATCTAAAAATCATAGTCAAAAGTTATAAAATAATAAACAGTTATGTAAAAGGAGCATTAATATGTCAGCATAAGATTTAATAGACTCTAATATACTACTACTTAATTACAAAAATTTGAATTAATATATTTTGTTTCATTACCACTTTTACATATTTTAATATTGTGTTAAAATTTAAAATTTAATCAGGCATTTATAGAATCTATAACACAAAATGTAAAATCTGGTTGGCAAGGGCTATTATGCCTTCCCTACCTTTCTAATTTATCTCAGGATCACGATGATTCCTTGCTATAACAATGCCTAGCAATGAAGAGAGAAGTATGCTGATAGGGAAAATTGAAATATTTCATTTTTCCAAATAAAACTGTAAGTTGGTTTGGCTGATATTTATATATCAGAGACTATTATTTATTTTTATTTTTTGCAGGGTAGCTAAATTTTGCTTAAAGATAATGGATATTCACAAATCATAATATTATAAATGAAATCAAGAAGTAAATATTAAGATGTCACTGCAATGTAAAATGGCAAGTCCATGGGAAAGATGATATGTAAATAGGATAAATGTATATATGTTTTAAAAGAAACACATAAAGGTGAAGACTAGCCTCTATGTGATAAATTCAGAGCAAAACCAGAAAATTACTAATTGCTTTTTTCTCCTTTCATAAATAACTGTGCAGTAAGAATATCTTAGCTCAAAATGAATTTTAAAATTTGAATTCTACTCTCATTTAATTAATGACTTAAATATTATCTTGTAGGAACTATTTACTTCACTTCAATTTTCATATCTACAAAAGACAACAAGAAATAATGGATTGATACCAATATTTGCCAAGAACCTAGAAAAGTCTGAGTTGAGATGTATTCTCTCTTAATTCTCTCAAGAATCCTAATATGATTATATTGTATTACCATTTCACAGACAAGAAAACTAAGATTGAAATATGTTAATTTGTCCATATTAATATAGCTACTAAAAATTCAGCTAGAGCTCAAACCGAAGATTTTCTGAATATATGGTAGATGCTTACTATTCTACTATTGCTCACATGCATAGATAGAGAATTAGAAAACTTGAAAGATGCCTGAGCCATAGATTAAAGCTTATATTGTCACAATTATTTAAATATATTTCAAACTAGATAGGACTCTATCTCAAAGATTGTATTGTTTATAGACATTGGAACATAATGAAAAGTTGTTATTACAGAATTACTAAAGAGATAGAATCTAATTAAATAGAAAACAAGCATACAATACAAAACAAGTCAGTCTTTTGGAAAGTCTGATACAAATTAATAAACCCTAAGCATATTTAATAATGATAAAGAAAAGCAGGTAAAATTATCTGTGTCATAAATAAAAAAGGACATCACTATAAACCCTGAAAACAGTTAAACATATAAAGAGACATTGTGAATAGCTTTTTAAAAATGCATTTGAAAATTTAGACTAAATTAAAAAAATCATAGAGAAAAACAAATTACCAAAACTTATACAAGAATAAATAGAAACTCCCCAAATCTATACCTTTTAAAAAACTGAATCCATGATTTAAAATCGCCTCACTCATGCCCAGCTACCACAATATTATCCAGCCTCAGATGGTCTTACTGATGAATTCTACCAAAGACTTAAGAAAATAATTAACAGTGATACTATACAAAAGAGGGGAAGATTTTCCAATCTTTTATTAGTACATTATAACCTTGGTGCCAAAAATGAAAAAGGCGTTATAACAAGAAATAATATTTGTCAGTCTGTTATTACTAATACTATTAGCCTCTGTTATTACTGACTTAACCCATGTATGCCTGAGGTTGCAGTTTTTTAATTTTTGCAATCAGACCTTGTCGATGACCTTGAGCAGTAGAATATAAATAACTCCCACATGTTTAGTGTTCCAATAATGGAACACTAGGCATAAATGGGTTTAATATTATTAAGTAACCTTTATTTTACTTAGTAGTGGCTCCAACGTGAGTGGTGATGTAGGCAAAGATCCAACTTAAAACATTAAATATTATAAGTAAAAACTTTTAACCTAAAGACATCTGTGTTAATACATCTAAAAATTCTGTACCTCTAAATTTCCCTGAATTATCTGAGCCTAAGGAAGTGGCCCACTTTTAGCTGTTAATGGCTAGCACCACCCCTATTTGAATATGATGTGAAAGTTTCTCCTCCACAGCAACATGCACTCATATTGCACCCCAGGATCTGCTCTTCTCTTCTCTCTTGGATACTAAGACTTCTCTAGGTTTAATTTACAAAACAACCCATTCAAATATATGGAACATTTGATAAAGAAGAAAAGAGACCATATTATAAAAAATCTAAAGGACCTAGCTAACATATACTATCAGAAACCTTAAAAGTCAATATAGGACTGTCTGGCAGGAACTCTCGGCCAGCAAGAGGATTCAAAACCTGAGTGGGGGGTACACAGGAAAAATAGGAGACAGAAAAGCGGGGTCAGGAGGTCTGGGGAGTGAGTGCTCCACCAGCAACTTTATTTCTCAAAGGCTTCGATTATATACATTTTTCAGGCTCTGGTTTACGTCAGTGTAAGAGAAAAAATAGATCACTAATTCACATACTCTATACAATAAGGATGGCAGAGACACACAATCAGTGGTCGTAAAAGGTGATAGTCATTCCTGGTGCTCATAAAAAACATTTACATCGAGACATTGTTCCTTGTGACTGCAGGATTTTCTGGTTCTGATCATCTGGTTATCTTTTAACAGGATTCTCCTTTTTTGTGTTCCTGACTCAACTTTATCTCAACTTCCCTCTATCAGTCCCGTCCCCGTGTCTGGGCTCGACCACCCCTCTTGTGAAACTCGCTTTGCAAGTATTCACACGGTTGGGTTCCCTAAAGGACTGAAGATAAAGGATGCTAGATCAAGTTAGAAAAGAGAAAGCTTATTGATTTGTTAGTGCTCTTGTACAATACAGACTTTATTACCTTGGTAAGAACATTATATCCTGCCAACATACTGAAGTGTGGGAAAAGCAATCACTTTTATAATTGACATGGAAACCTCACACATCACACTGCACACTGTGGAGGAACTTATTAATATTTTCATAATAGTGAGCATGCTAGAGTGGATTTGCTGTATAACAATCCTCCATTTTCCATGGTTTTAGTAACCTGTGGTCAAGCCCAGTCCAAAATTATTAAATGGAAAATTTCAGAAATAAACAATTCATAAATATTAAGTTACGTGCTGTTCTGAGAAGCATGATGAAATCTCATATTATTCTGCTCCCATGTTGCCTTGGATATGAATCATCCCTTTGTTGAGCAGAATCAAGCTGTTTGTGGTACCTACCTGTTACTCACTTAGTAAAGGTCTCAGTTATCAGACTGACTGGCACAGTATCTCACTACTGTGGTAAAGTAACCTTTACTTAATAATGGCTCCAATGTGTAGGAGTAGTGATGCAGGCAATTCAGATATGCTAAAGGGAAGCCATAAATTACTCCATTAACTAAATAAGGTAAACATTTTAAATAAGGAAAGAAAAAAATATGTATGCAGAGGTTGCTAAGATATATGGTAAAAACGAATCTCCTATCCGTGAAATTGTGAAGAAGGAAAAATAAATTTCTACTAGTTATGCTGTATACCTCAAACTGCAAAAGTTGCAGCCACAGTACAATATAAGTGTTTATTTAAGACAGAAAAGGCATTAAAGTTGTAGGTGGAAGACAGACAGAAAAAGTGTTTTGATGGACATCAATGTGCTGTGCCAGATTAACTAAATTAAATTAAACTTTATCGTAGGTATGTATGAATAGGAAAAAAGCTTAGTATGCATAGGCTTTAGTGCAATTGACAATGTCAGGTACCCACTTAATGTTTCAGAGTGTATTTCTCACAGAAAAGGGAGGACTACTATGCTACGTGATGTTGGAAAACCTATCAGATATGCATGCTTCAAAGTAGGGCCCACAGGGTGTACCTTATGCAAAATGGTAAGAAATATGCTAGTGTTAGGGGCCACCAGATTACTAAATATTTCAGTGGTTGCTCTCATCTGTAGGTCAGGGATGATGGGAAGAGATACTATTACAGAATTGGGTTCATGATAGCAATGGAGATGGCAGAAACTTAAAACAATGGACAGGCGGCAGTATGTAACTATAAGTCAGATGGCTGTAATTATTGTATTGAGTGGAAAAGACAAAGTGTCAGCCAGGGAAGTCTGACATGGAGAAGGTTATAGAGATGGTTATTGGAACACGACATCTCTAGGAGTCAAATAGATGGAGCTGAGGAGTGGTCTGTTCAATTGATACAATCGAAAGAAATCAAACATGATTATTAGGATACTGAAATAAGTGACCCAATATAAGACACCATACTTATTCAGTTTCCAGAACTGAGTCAGTTTTTAGACACAGTGAAACAGATCTGGTCTCCAAGAAAGGCCCTTCAAATCAATGATGAGTATACACAATAATGATTCTCCCAGTGCTCTCCCAATTAGACTTTCCAGCAACTCAAAGCATCAACATGAACACCTGGTAGATTTAGAACATGTAACAACTGCAGGACAACTTCCCTAGCAGCCTTGGCCTGACTCAGTTTTTCCCCTTTTCTTGTTTGTAGTTCTCAAAAATAACTGGAGAAGGTGCTCAAAATGCAGCATCCTGAGAGAAGAAGGAATTGGCCAGAACAGAACAGGCCCTGTTCCTGTCCCTCCTAGAGCAGGATCTTCTACAATACTTTAGTCCAGCTATTTATGTTTCTCCCAAGGAATAAAATCCAGAGTGCACTGCTTTCCAGGATCCCTCAGCTGTGGTGCAAGTAGGGCACGTAGAGATGAGACTCCCTCCACCCTGTGCATCTTTCTTGAGCCTTAGGAGACCAGCTCACCATGAATCCTAGGCTTTTGTTTTTTCTTGTTGCCCTCTCTAAGTAATAAGCCTGCTCCATATAACCTGTTCTATGCTAGTGTTCTGTCTCACAGGACTCATGCAAGTGATAGAAATTGGCACATCCTAAGGTGCGGTGGGTAAGGCATTTGAGTCCTCCCCTAGGATTGATGCTGGTGCACAGTGAACCTGCTTTGTAATGACCAACTAATTAATAGAATCCTGGCTCAGGTCTGTCTAGCAGTTAATCCATTGGGTATATAGCATGAAATATACAATTAAAATAGATAACATTGGTAGTTGACAGAATCCCATGCTGGTGCCTTGGCCAGTAGGGCTAAGAGTTATCATAGTGGAAAAGACAAAGTGGAAACTTTTGAAACTGCCCCAGCACTCAACCAAGATAGTAAATAAAAATAATCTTACCTTCTAAGAGAAGCAGTAGCCAAAGAATAACAGATGGTTTATCTCTATCATATCTTCATTTAATTCATCAGTATAGTTCTTGCAGAATCCAAACACATTCAGGATTGGTAGACTACTACACACTCAGACATTTAAAAGCCCTAATTGCAGCTACTGTACCATAAATGGTGTTTCTGCTAGAATAGATAAACACAGCCACAACTACATTCTAAGCCATCATTGGTCTGCCCAATGCATTTCTTTGTTTCTATTAGAAGAGAGGACCACGAACAGTTTGCATTTACTAAGGGAAGATAACAATATATGTTTACAGTCTTGTCCCAAGTTTATGTTAGCTCTTTTGCCGTCTGACGTAATATATTCTGAATACCCCTGAACTGTCTGGACATTTTGAAAAATGTCAGAATTTCCCAACATGTTGACTATATCTCTCTAACACTATCAGTGAAAAGTAGCAAGTATGTTGAGAGTCCTAGTAAGAAGCTTGCATTCTGAAGAATGGGATCCAGGACATTGGTAAACATAGAAGTAGAAATACCATTTGAACCAGCAATCCCATTCTTGGGTATATACCCAAATGATTATAAATCATTCTTTTATAAAGACACATGCACACGTATATTTGTTGCAGCACTGTTCACAATAGCAAAGACTTGGAACCAACCCAAATGCCCAGAAATCATAGACTGGAGAAAGAAAATGTGGCACATATATGCCATGAAATACTATGCAGCCATAAAAAAGGATGAGTTTATGTCCTTTGCAGGAACATGAATGAAGGTAGGAGCCATCATTCTCAGCAAACTGACACAAGAACAGAAAACCAAACACTGCATGTTCTCATTCATAAGTGAGCATTCAACAATGAGAACACATGGACACAGGATGTTCTCAACAATGAGAACATCATACACTGGGGCCTGTCAGGGGATGGGGATAGGGGAGGGATAGTAGGGGATGGGGAGACAGGGGAGGGATAGCATTAGGAGAAATACCTAATGTAGATGACGGGGCGATGGATGCAGCAAACCACCATGGCACATGTATACCTGTGTAACAAACCTGCATGTTCTGCACATGTACCCCAGAACTTAAAGTATCATAAAAAAAAATATTAAGGGTCTAATGGTCTGGGATGTGGCACCCTATCTCCTCCAAAGTAAAGAGCATATTATTATATCTCACATATTCATCCACAAACAAAAATGCCTAATTACAAAGAAGACCTTTTAGGTCTTGCACAAAGTATAATCCTTGGCAATACTGTTCCAGCTGCCATATTGAGTGACATGAAATGGTCTCACTTTGAGTGGAGCCCAGAGCAGAAAGGAACAGGCTGCAACACAAGTGGCTCTGCTTGGTCCATATGATCTAGCAGATCTTAAGTTATTTACTACAAATGCCAGAGCTGACAAAAGACACCATGTGGAATTTGTGGCAAGACCCAAGGGAAGACTCACAATACAAATTCATTGAGTTCTGATCTAAGACTATATCCTATGCAGTAAACTGGGCACATTTCAAAAAAGAGTTTATGACTTGCTTTTTGACATTGACATTTTTGGAAAATATGGCACAATTATTTTGTAGAATATCTCTCACTCTAGGATTTTTGTTTTGTTTCCTCATCATTAGATCATGATAGCCTTTTTCCCACCAGGCAGATTACAATAGGGATGTGTACTCTCTTCAGTGCATTCACATCTGGAAGCACAAAATGTCTATTGGTCTCATTTCTAGTGATGTTATGTTTGACTTCTTGGTTAAGTTGATATTTATCAAGATTCTCCATTATAAAGTTAATGCTTTTATTTTTCTTTTCGGGAAAATTCTTTGAAACTTTGTAAAAATCTTACTGCTCTGTGGACTTTCAACCCACTAGTTTTAGCATTCATTAATTACTGTTTACCTGAATTAATTTTTATCATGATTACCAAATAATATTTTTTTCTTTCTACATTTAATAATTTGTTTTCCACTATAAAATATAACTTTCCATTGTCTCAGATTTCTTCAACATATCTTTACCTGTTTCTAGATTTTTCTATTTATCTAAATATCTTTCTATTTGTACCTATATGTACCCTCTTGGTTTCTTGTCCTCTCATGTTCTTAGAAATATTCCCTTGCTGTTGCCAAATCAGATATTTTTTTCTCCCATAATTCCA